CAATCACGAAGCAAATTAAACTAGTTTTCTGTGATTTTAGACAACTTTTAGTTCTGATAACTTTCCTTAATGTCTGTGCTACAGCTGCATTAACCCCTGTAAATTAAATAAAGAAACAATTCAAGGCATCTCTTGACATATCCCTGTGGCTAAATGGAATCAGCAGCTGGTGATTAAAACATACGTATTACTCAAATCACAAATCCAAAGTCAGCATTTACCTTCCACTGTTCTCAGTAGCTAGGCACTTTACTTAATTAGTATTCTAGCACAAGTGTTGTTAGTTGGCCATTCTGGCCCAGGGCTGTGAGGTGCTGCTGCCTCTCCCCGGGAAGCTGTGCGGTGCTTTCCCAACTGCGTCGGAGCTGCTTCTCTGGACAGTGCAAGCATTTTGCGTGGGTGCGATGTTCAGGTAGAAAGTAAGTTTCCCACCTGCCAGAGAGAGCCCACTCCCACCTCGGTGACTGGTGCTCGTTTGCTCTGGTCGCAGGCGCATCTTCTTGCAGGCAGATCTGCCTTCGGGCTTTTGTACCCCCCCCCATCCAGGAGGAAGCAGTTAATGACCTGCTGTGCCACCTGGACACCCACAAGTCCATGGGGCCGGATGGGATCCACCCGAGAGTGCTGAGGGAGCTGGCGGAGGAGCTGGCCAAGCCACTCTCCATCATCTGTCAGCAGTCCTGGCTAACAGGGGAGGTCCAGTGCCGGGCAAGATTATGGAGCGATTCATCCTGAGTGTGCTGACTGGGCATGTGAAGGACAACCAAGGGATCAGGCCCAGCCAGCATGGGCTCATGAAAGGCAGGTCCCGCTTCACCAGCATGATCTCCTCTGTGGATGAGGGAAAGGCTGTGGATGCTATCTCTACCTGGACTTTAGTAAAGCCTTTGATACTGTCTCCTACAGCATTCTGCTAGAGAAGCTGGCAGCTCATGGCTCAGACAGGTGTAGGTTCACTGGGTAAAGAACTGGCTGGATGGCTGAGCCCAGAGAGTTGTGGTGAATGGAGTTAAATCCAGTCACCAGCGATGCTCCCCAGGGCTCAGTTTTGGGGACAGTCTCGTTTAACATCTCTATCAATGATCTGCGTGAGGGGATTGAGTGCTCTCTCAGTAAGTTTGCAGATGACACCAAGTTGGGTGGGACTGTTGATCTGCTTGAGGGTAGGAAGGCTCTGCGGAGGCATCTGGACAGGCTGGATCGATGGGCTGAGGTCAATTGTATAAGGTTCAACAAGGCCAAGTGCTGGGTCCTGCACTTGGGTCACAGCAACCCCGTTCAACACTACAGGCTTGGGGAGGAGTGACTGGAAAGGTGCCTGGTGGCAAAGGACCTGGGGGTGTTGGTTGACAGCCAGCTGAACATGAGCCAGCAGAGTGCCCAGGTGGCCACAAAGGCCAACGGCATCCTGGCTTGTATCAGGAATAGCGTGGCCAGCAGGAGCAGGGAGGTGATCGTGGCCCAGTACTCAGCACTGGTGAGGCTGCACCTGGAGTACAGTGTTCAGTTTTGGGCCCCTCACTACAAGGGGGACATTGAGGTGCTGAGGCGTGTCCAGAGAAGGGCAATGAAGCTGGTAAAGGGTCTGGAGAACAAGTCTTACGAGGAGTGGCTGAGGGAGCTGGGGCTATTTAGTCTGGAGAAGAGGAGGCTGAGGGGTGACCTTATCACTCTCTACAACTACCTGAAAGGAGGTTGTAGTGAGGCAGGTGTTGGTCTCTCCTCCCAAGTAACTAATGATAGGACAAGAGAAAATGGCCTCAAGTTCCATCAGGGGAGGTTTAGATTGGATATTAGGAAAAATTTCTTTACTGAAAGAGTGGTCAGGCGTTAGAACAGGCTGCCCAGGGAGGTGGTGGAGTCACCATCCCTGGAGATGTCCAAAAACCATGTAGATGTGGCACTTTGGGATATGGTTTGGTAGGCATGGTGGTTTTGGGTTGATGGTTGGACTTGATGATCTTGGAGATCTTTTCCAACTTTGATGATCGTATGAGGAAGTTTATTAACCCGTTAACAGCCACAAATTTCCAGCCAGCGTGCCTAGCTTGCTGGCTTGTGATGCTTGTTGCACAGTTCTTGGCCCTGTTAGGTCTGCAGGCAGCCTTGCAGCACATGAGGCACCTTCATGTCTTCTCTGCAGGCTGTCCAAGTTTTACACCTCTTCACTCTCTCAGGTGTTCTTCTGTGGTCCAGAGAAGCTTCTGCTTTTGGCTCTCACCACAGAAAGCAGGTAGGACGGTCCTCTGCTGCAGCAGCATCTGCAGCTCTGCTGGTGCTCCAGACTGGTGGGGACATGGTATCAGGGAGGAAGACAGGACCAGCATGGGGAGTGGGTGCTTGGCGAGGGCAGCCGCTGTCTTGGCTTTCTCTGAAAGCCCAGAGAGCTTCTGCTGGGAGCACCCGATCAGCAGCACGTATGCTGAAAGGACTTTGTCTGTGTTTCAGTTTTGGAAGCTGCTGGAGGTGGTGGATTAGCTGGAGACAGGTGACCACACAACAGACTGGGGGATCCTGTTTTTTCCTGTGGTTTGGCCGTCTGCCTTAAATAACCCCATCTGATGGGTATATTTATTTATTCTAATTGCATGTGGCTGGTGTACTTGTGCATCAGGACGTCCCAGCCGTGAGTTCGCTTGCCTGTTTCGTGTCAGCACAAAACAGTGAGTCTACGTGCTCTTGGATTGCGAACCTTCTTATATAATGCCACAAATCTGTTACCCGTGTTAAGCAATGATTTTCTTCTCTGGCGTCTTATGGCTCTGAAGCACGTAGCACTTGCACAGTAAAAACCACCGGGCTTCCCAGGCAAAAGAAACCCTTCTGCTATCACACATGGATGTTACAAAATGTTACTGTGTTTGTGCAACAGTCGGTTTTCCAATATTAACTCAGCTGTTTACCATTTATTTTTAAATGGGTCCAGTCCTCCTTATAAATCTAATTTTAAAGATCACTGGAGATACAGCAACAAGACTAAGAAGGATGAAGCCTTACTACTAGGCCGGAGACTCTTGAGTGCCAAGCTTCAGCCTGAAGTCATTTTAGCATCAACTGAAAGACAGAGGAGCTAAAAGAAATGTTAATAATTGTAAAGGGCATGCTGCAGGCTCGCTCCAGGCTGTGTGCCAAAGCCTTTGATAGGATTTTGTGTGGGGAGGATCTCAGGAAGCTCTCAGGTACAGTTCTGTGTTGCAGCACAACCCATCAGTGTTCTCGAGGTGGCACAAAGACCTGCCTTCGTTCCATTTGACTTTAAACTGAGGCACCTACTTTAACAGTGTGCTTGTCCAAGGTTTTTTCATTAAGGTGACTGCAGAGCGAGGATGTGCTAGAGGCAAAGAGGAACCTCCAGAGAGCAGATCAGTCTTGGATAAGATGATGCCCCCAGTGTATCTCTTATAAACCTACGTCACCTGTCCCGGCAGCCCATGGAGACCTCTTGCCTTTTGGGCCTGGGCTTTGGGGTTGATGAGATCACTCACAAATGCCACATAGCCGAGTCATGGAAAGTAAGCAGGAAAAGGGGGCTTAGGTGGATCACATCTGCCCTCTCCCTTATTCCCTGAAGCCAGCACTGCTCTTAGAAAGGTATGACAGCCAAAGCATGTGCTGCTGTTGCTCTGAGGCTGCTGCCGTGAGGGTGAAGGACTTGTCACCATCACATCTTCTTTCTCTGCCATGACAGGTATAGTTTGGCAGAGCCCAAGAGTAGGGCTGCTAGAGTAGCTCCAGTTAGTATATGGTGCTGGAAGACAAGTACTGTGTCACCTTCTTTAGCTTCCTGTGTTTCTTCTAGAAATGTTTAATTTGTCACATGAAACAGATAAAAGACCTGTAGGACATGCAAAAATCAGAGCTGTCTGACAGGTCTTCACTGCATCTTCCATGTTCATTAATGCTTGCAGGGCACCTCTGGTTAACCACAGTGAGGAGGTTTCACCGAACACAAAGAAGCTGCGGTGTGGGATCAGGTTCACAGGTTTCTATGGATGAACTCATATTTATATTGCCATTCTGCAAGCTGTAGCCTTTAACTTTTGGTTGGCCACATGTAGGTGCTTCTTTTGGCTGCCAAGGCACCAAGACGATGGTGCTTGAGTGTAGCGAGCGTTAGCCCCTCTTATGGATGGCCGATGATTGAGCCTCTGTAGAAGCAGGTTCTGCTCTAAGCATCCTCAGCAGCCCTCAATGGGAATGAGGAAACCTCCTGAAGCTGCCTTCCCCGCCCCAGGGACGAGCTCCTTTCAGCAGG